CTTTTTTCATCATGCACATCATGCAGTGTCTAAAACATAGCAGTTTGCATGGACTAAGTAGGGTAAAGAGCGCCAACAAAAGAAATTGCAAGAGTAAAAAATTTAGCAGACCAGCAAGTAGAAGAGAATCAATTCTTTGTCAATTCAATCTGGTTCAATAGTCATAAAAAATTGCTGGCTGATTCTTTAATTGAAAGGGAAAGTCAATCACTAATAACGCATGCATCTAACAGCTCACTGGTCACAATACGACTCCTACTTACCTCGAAATCTGGCCCTTCATCTTGCCTTGTTACGGCAATCCATTCAATCTCAATAAATGGTTCAAAAGAAAGTTGAAGAAAGACAAATTCTCATCACTTTTATTTCCTTTGTCGTTACTACAGAAATTAACACAGCAATGATCATGGGCCATGCTTGCTTGTAATCTTCACTCAAAACACTGTAATGTAACACAAAACCTATACCTTTTGCCAGTCCAACCTCGATTTGGCACACTACACAATCCAAGATGGCGCTGTGTGATAAAGGTATATACGGTCGCCATGACATACTGCAACTTGTAGATGGGCTATTTGAAAAATAAATGAACACACAACAGAGGGAGGTCTACAATCAACTGCTTGTGCTTGTGCTTATCGGAATATTCAAATAAAGAAAAACTGTTTGTTAAAAATCTCTTTTATTTTTGAAATGTGGCACAATTATAATTACTCTTACTTTTATTATGAATTTCACTGGTGGACAGCTTGTTTCTCCTTGGTCTTTTGAGGATGATATTGTCTGATTTATTTTATCATTTGTCTTGGTGTTTTGATGATGATACTGTGTGATTTATTTTATCATTTGTGCACTGAACTGTGGTAAATACCGACACATGGTTCAATGTTTTGTACACTCGTCGACAGCAATATTCGTCTACACAGTGGTCAAAATGCTGTGGACTCACAAATCATAGCCAAGTGAGTTTGCAACAAATTTCCAACCACTGTGACAGAGTGCAACATTACTGCCAATTGTGGTATAAAAAAAAAAAAGATTTTGATGTTGTTCTTTGCTTTGTTCATTAGGGACACACCTGGTAACGATCACTTCAGGACAGTGACAGCTGCATATGTACAAGAAGATGTTCAGGTAAAGGAGATTAAAAAAAAGGAACCAGTTGACATCAATAATGTACTGTTGAGGACTAGTGTTTAAACAGATACCTCTGGAACAAAAAAGGTGTCTATGGCCTAGGCTGTAGATGGCATTTACCATTTTAGTCAATTTTTGCAAGAGCAGAAAAGTACCTTGTTTTTGGCTGGTTTGAACCCAAGGGTGACATGCACAGTTGCTTGCAAAATGTGATCATCCAGTGCCAATGTCTGACTGAAATTTAACCACTTGAACACAATCTGATTTATCAAAAGCTACTAGGTAACAACCTCTTTCATCTACCAACTTTGATGATCTCACATGTCACTGAGAGGTTATCAAAAAGTTGTTTATTGTCACCAACTGCTTTATTTGTGAACTGCCCTGAAGTGGATGATGGTAGCATGAGATCTGTGTTCAGTGTAGTAAAAGAAAATGATCATTTACTTTAATTTTCTTGAATTCAGAACAAATAAACATATTTCTTTTGAGGTAATGAAGATAAAAAGCTAGTCTTTGAGTTTTGTTGGTTTGTTTGTATACTTTTGTTATTGTTTGCAACATTTTCTAGAAGCTTAAATATTAAATTGAGTAGTTGGTTTGTTTGTCCATTTACAGGGTGTGGTTGTAGTGTTTGATGTTACAAATTATGATAGCTTCTTGAATGTTCACCACTGGGTCAAAACAGTAGAACAGGTAAGGATCAGCTGACATACTGGGAGAATTTAAATGTGGCAAGGGGCTTAACAATCTCCAAGCTAAGCTTATACTCCCTTCTAAGTGTCAAATGATGTCCTCTGTACAGTTTGCAAGCAAGCTCCTTGCAATATTAGCAATTTACAGTGTGTTTGTAATCAATTTGTGAGGATGTAGTGGTAAGTAGATATTGAAAATAAGTCTTAAAACATATCATTTTGGCGAGCATGTTCTTGAAAAATTGATTTGTGAGAAATCACAACACTGCATGTATGTTGTTTTGCTAGTTTTGCTCATCGTGCTTTCCCAACAAAAATGTGGCAGGGTTCCACCCCCTGATGGTGGGTATTTTACAACTCATCCCTGATTGGTGGCCAGTTTGAGTGAGACTGGGAGGAAATGAAAAGCACCATGATCATAACTACTGCAGATCAAATTCATCTTTATTGGATTTTTTCAGTTCAAATAAGTGTCAAGGTTAAACCTGAATGTTTATTGAAAATCTCATTATTATTGTTGTGGTTTTTGTTATTATGATCATTATATACAATATATGTTCAATACTGTTCATTACAGTAACACTGTTCATTATTGTAGTATGCAAGACAAGATAATGTTAATTTTGTGTTTGTTGGAAATAAAACTGACATGGAGGAAAAAAGGAAAGTTTCAAAAGAACATGGAGAGGAGGTAGGAAAAACTTGAGTGCAGCATTCTCCCTTATTTTAAGCATGACAGATAAAATAAATTTTCAAA